GATGGAACAGCCCTTCCACATCAGCAGATTGAACGCGTCGTCGGCAATCCCTTTCAGGACATGCCCGACCTTGTCACCTTCTGTCATGTCGCTTTCGGCCTTTCGGCAGAGGGCCAGCACGTCTTGAATGTATGCGAGGTATGACTCCGTGGGAGATTGGGCACGGTAGGCCAATTCCTTTTTGGCGGCGATCTTGTGACTGGCGGTTTTGCCAAACACCTCTCGCATCTTTTCTTTGCATTGGTCCCAGATTGTGAGTTCTTCTTCGTTGTTTTCATACCCCACCTTGGCGGTGCCTCTTAAGTAAAACAGCACATTAGCCAACTGAAGTGAGGGATCCCATCTGTTCGGCACACTCACTCGTTCGAACATGGCCAACCAATCGTCAACGTCGATGCCTTATAGACACTAGCGTAAGCATTTCGGTCATGAGTTCAAGCCTATGCAATGGTTTAAAAAAAGTTCTGACACCACCGGCTGCACAAATGCTCCGTGTGGCTGATGGCGGCACGCCGATGGTTCTCGGTCTGTGCACTGTGCCATCGGTCCTGCAGAATGTACCAGGATCCTTAAGTGGCGTGAAAATGTATGGTTGCGACGCCTTGTTTGTCGGAGACGCTGACGTTGACGCGGAGGGCTCAGCATTGGCCATGGCTGAAAAACCGATACAACGTCCGCTGCGGAGCTCCGTTGCCTGATGATTACCCAGCACCTTTCACCAATGTTACGGGGTTAGAGACTTTTGTACAAAATGCGTTTACAGAGGAAAACCCACAGGCAAGACTCACAATGGCTGATTGGCACACTCGTGCGCCTGTGAGTTGCTTGAGTTCTTCCTCTTCCTTTACTTCACCTTCATAACAACATCATAAATAATACTTTTTCTTGATGTACGTGGCCTATGATCAAATATTCATTGATTTGAGCGTAATTTCTTGCTAAATAAATATATGTGTGTACGTGTATGTGTATATGGGTATGTATGTGTACATATATATATATATATATATATATGTGTATGTATATATGTGTATGTGTGTATGCTGAATGGGTGGCAAAATATTTATGTCGCACTTATCCTATATTGTTAAATACTGCTGCTATTCCTGCTAAATGCTATGTTTTTTGACTTGCAAATTTACTATGTATTATTTTTTCAGCTGTGCCAAGATATACTGTGTATTTGTATTTTCTGTCTATTTATATTATTTGTATTCACTCCTGCATGGGCCCAAGAAGAGCCTGCACTATCTGTAAATAAATAAAAATTTAAAAATATATTCAGGTAAATGTTAAGCAAATAAATGTACTTTAATCCTGTGTGCAGTTGAACAAACTTTTCAACATTAAATAAAATAAAAAATATGAACAGTAAACAAAACTGTGCAAGCACAACTCACCAGTTCATTTCTACTGGAAAATTACTTTCTGAAGTGAGCTGTTTTATTGGACCAGCTATCACCAACTTTGCATTTATATTTTATAAATGAAGCAAAACATGGCCAAGGGTTATTTTTTTGTACTTCCCCAGATACCTTTCATGATCATGAACACCAGCCTTTGCCGTCATCCCTGTTAAGACTAGTTTGGTGCGTCGAATTCAGTTTAGCTCTACTACATACGAAAATGACCGCTTATTTGACAGTGACTGCAGCTGAAATTTTTTTGCAGCGGGGGGGGGGGGGGGGGGCACATTTTTGATTACGAAGGGGGGGGGGGGGGGTGCAAGGGCTTGGAGGGCCACCCCTTGGTAACGGCACTGCTCATATATGTCTAACATAGGTTAATGTTTACTTTAAATGAATGCATTCATATTGTTGTGGCAGTGAAGAATAGATTCTTGCATACAGTAGATAGGGATAATCGTTGCTGTTTGAAGTCCCAAAAGGACGGAATGATAATGAGAGACGCGATGCTAGAAGGACACGGAGAATCCTAGATAATTATCGCCTTGGTTTTTTTTAAAGCACGGAGTGCTGTAATAACTAGCCAAGCCGGTATGGGCCCCGCTTTGCATGCACCCCTTCAAAGGATTGCCAACGCGATGGACCCGTACGAGGACACGTCGTGCCCCGCACGTGTTGCCCGCAGGCGGGCAACACGACAAATAACTAAAAGCAGCGTGGACAGCTGCTTGCCGACTAACAGGAAGTCGTAGGCTCTTGCTCGACCAATCACAGCATATTTGTCATACAGTTAAACTTCGGTATAATGAACTTCAGGGGACCACAGCAATTTGTTCGTTATTTAGAAAGATCATTATAGTGAAAGCCCAAAAAATTTACCATAAATACTTATTTTCCACTGACCAAAATGACTTACCTTTACAACGGTGGGTCCAACTCGTTTTTCATGAAAAAAAAAATGCACAAGTGAACACCATAAAATGCACGTTTACTTAAATAAGTTCGTGTTTTTTTTTTTTTTTATGCAAGCACTCTAAGTTCTTTGGCCACAACAGCGTGCTTTTTGCCTTCCAGCTGCCTAAGAATATCCTTTTTCTCGCTTAGTGAAAACTGCTTCAGCTTCTTCGTCGCAGGCAGAGATCAACTTATTGTAGTAGCACCACAGCGCGAACGCCGACTTGTTTTGCGGACGCGATAAATAATCACCGAAAAGAGATGCACAGGACTCATAAGGCTTGCTAGAGGACATGTAGAAGTGACAAAAATAAGAAAAACCCAAAGCATCGTGGCTGTCATCGCCTCTTCTGAAGAAAAGAAAGAGCTAAAAAAGAAAATTCCTCGCGTTTCGTTTTCTGCTCCCTCACTGTCTCAGGTTTTCCGCGCCTATGCTTCCTGCTCCACAACTCCCACTCTGCCTTGTCGACCTCACCCTCCCATGTTTCCTTCGCCTCTCACCTTGGCGCTCATAAACCTGCAGTGTCGGTGTTTGAATAACAAACAAAACAAAAAAAATCGTCCTTTCATTGTTTTCCCCTCCACATTGTTCCGCGTGTTCCGAGAAGCAAGGCATTAGTTCGCTGTGTCGTCTGCTTGCACCGCTCCAGCGGTCCCCACAGATTTGAGAACATGAGTTCGTTGTACTGAGGCATTGTTAATATAATGTACAACTAAATTAGCACTCATTATTCTGGAAAGTTTGGTATCCTTAAGTACATAGTAGTAAAATAATTTTACATTGAAACTATTAGCAGTCAGCACAGCATTTTTAAGAAGTTCGTTAATCTGAAAAGTTCGTTAATATGGTGTTCGTTCTACTGAGATTTTACTGTATTTGGTGCAGTGCATCAGAAATGTGGCACGGCACGTAATGCAGAGGCCCGAAAGGCCCAGAAAGGAGGGACTGTTTCTTGTAAACTAGGGCACCCCGACGACTTGTAGTGCTGCCCCGTGTAGAATCGTTGATCCCGACAACATTCTGCACAATCTGCGAAATCGCAGAGGAGTCTTAAAAACGAAAGCCCACCTGTGCCACTACAAATGAACATCTAACTCCTTGGCTTCTATTGTGGAATTGCGGCCTAAAATTGCATGGTTCACACCTCAGTACAGCCAAACTACGACTTCCGGTAAGGCGTTGATCAGTTACTGGAGCAAAGATGGACATAGAATGCTGGTGCACACCACACGGTTTTCTGCTCTCTTAGGTGACAAAGCGTGCGAATTCCTGATGAACTTAGGTGTGTTCGGCCTCTTCAAGGCCAAATGTTAATGCGCTTTTAGAGATTTGTGTCCGCTAGATGAGACTCACCTGTTAGCTATGACGGCATGACTTACAGCCAAAATAAAGCCAAGCCTGTCATTTTTAGTAGCCAAAATATAGCCACATAACCAACTCGCCCAAGATGACGCCAACATTTTTTTTATGTAGCCCAAACTGGCTATTTATAGCCAAATCTGGCAACACTGAAACACGGTTCCACAAACACACCCTATCTACCATGACAGACATCACATTAGTTCCGTATCTCATAGGCTCAAACATTGAACGTTGAAGCAGTAAAAAGTAATCAAACAAAAATGTTATGTTCCGTATCTCATAGGCTCAAACATTGAACGTTGAAGCAGTAAAAAGTAATCAAACAAAAATGTTATGCATAAAATAAACTGATATGAATTATTTTGTTCTAATTCCACAATATTTATAGCACAAAAAAAACTGGATAACGAATATAAAGAACTTCGGAACATAGCGCAACATTACTTTCGTACTGCCCATGTGGTGAGGGCTAGCTACCGAGCGGTGGACGTGCTGCTGAGTTGTGCTGTTTTTAAAAGGATCGTGGAGCTACGGAGTGCGTAAATTAGATGTTGTCGAATAAGTGTTCGACTGTTAAATTTCTAGAAGACTTTAACCTCAGGTGAAAGCCAGACAAGACTTTCTTTTACCTGTGACAAGACGGATACATAAATCAATAAGTGGGTGTTGCTGTGCTGCCTGCTTTGTCCCCGATGCAGCCATTTGAAGGTAATTATATTACTTATATGCTTCGAGTGCTAGTTAGTTGTCTAGTATTTTAGAGAAGATGTAGCTATATAATGCAGCGCAGAATGTTTCGAGTGCTGAGACGATGGAAGGTTTTATTGTAAACTAATGCTTTCGGCCCTGCTATATCTTTGTGTATGGGCTTGCGTACAGTGCTTGCAAATTTACTGTCTTAAAGTATAACAGAAAACGAATTCCGGGCAATACCTATATATTGAATGACTTCATGAGCAACAAGTATACGTAGTTCTGTCAACGACAAGGAAAGCGCATAATGGATAGAAGTGAGTGTTTCAAACCTGTCGCACGTGTGTAGGCATGCGACTTCGAGCAAAAATATAAATGCTTTCGCCTTACTGCTCATAGTGTTTTTTTGTTTTGTTTTTGCCGCTGAGCTAAGCGACTTGAACGAAGTTGAATTAGATCGGACAAGATCTCTGCAGATTGTGTGCTTAATGCAGACTTTAGACGGCTGGTCTCCTGGGTATATTTATTAAATTGATATGGCTTTTCTAAGACATGCATTTAACATATTACCACTTGCCTTACAGCAACGCTCCCCCATTGGTCACGGGTGAATGGCACGGATACATCAGCTGCAGCACGAAACTTACGGACATGAAAGCGGAGCGGAGCAAGCTTTGCACTGTATGTCACAGTATGTGCAACCACATTGCTGATTCAAGTCAGCTGCAGCAGCAGTCGGCACGATGTGCCATTTCTTTGTAATACTAATAAATCAGTATAATCTTCTACACTTAACATTGAGTCCTTTAGAGTGTTTGATGTTCTTAGAATGATAATTATATTGATGTAGCTAGCTCCCAACTAGCTAGAGCGCATGTATATTTGGGCACCAACGGGGAAGGCGACCTGTTCCCAACAAAATATTTCATTTCACAATTGGGAATGCATTCCCAGCTGGTCCCAGTTTCCAACTAGATATGCATTCCCAATTGGAAATGTGTTCCTTAAATCAGTTGAACTGGGACCAGTTAAAACCAGTTGAATTTCCAGTTACAAATTTTCACCAGGGGAGCAGCCAAAAATGTGTTTTCGAGCGAGAGAAAATGACTTTTGGAGCAAGTTAAGGCTCACTGCCAAGTGGGACATTGACCGTGTGAAGCAAGGCAGTGAACTAATGAGGAACGCTTTTAAATTGAAAAGTTCTGTGCAATAAAGAATGTTTGGAAATGTTTGTATAACATCACAGAATATTAACCCAAACTAATTTTAAACCTTATCCAGTGTATTTTTTAATACGAGATGCAATCAACTACGAACTGGTACTGCATTCTGGCTGCCGAAATAATGTAGGAGAGCAGTTATTGTTGAAGAACAAATAAATCACTATGAATTTTTTTGTTGAAGACTATATCAATCCTGTTTAATTTCTTTAATTACAAAGAGCTGTTGTCTAGTTGGTTGTTTTCTTGCTTGACATCTTTTCAAGGGCTGCAGAGAGTCACGTTTTTCTTTCACCAAGCAAGGACTGGCACATCAGATGCACTCGAGTCTCGATCCAGTATGTAGTGTGATCACGGCGGTCGCCCAAAGAGCTTCAGTTTTTAGGGGTCGCGGAAATGCTAATCTATGAGGGTTTCATTGTCTCAGAACATTCATAGATGCTCGCTGCAATACCAAGCACGGCTCCAAGCACATCACAAAAGCTTATTGACAGCATTCCATATGACCGTGAAGTGCGTGACCGCGTGGACAATGCAGCCCATGCGTGATGCACTTGGCAGCAGCGTTCGGTGACAATGCGCAAAATGAGTAGCTACAATGACAAAAAAAAGAAGAAAGAAAAGAAACGACGCGCACTGGGCTTATGATCACATTTTCGAGTGCCAATGCGAAAAACTGCTAGCCGCTGTTCTGAGCAATCTTGGCAGTGGAGGGGGGGCTGTGACGAGCTTGACTGGGGGGTCTGCTGCCGATGCGTAAAATGCCCGTCCGCGATTCCGAGGAGCTAGCGAGTGATGTGCTGTCTGCAAAGAAACACGTTTCCACGAGTGCGCTAGCGCGTCATTCTTGCTAGCAAAGTTCGTCTCATCGTAAGTGGAGTTGGGCATAAAAACGACTCCGACAACGTGCCATACTCGTAGACCGCAAACCCACTCGTAGTAATCTGATCAAGCATCCACTTACAGTTCCTAACTAAAGCGGAATTATATCCTAAGTGATCGTCGAGTCGTGAACACGTCACGAAGTCGCGATTTTTGACAGTCATATCCTCGCCACACACAAGCAGCAGACGATATCGCGGAGCGAGTACCGAGCCAACGGCGAGGCGAGCTGGGGCAACAAGGCGGCCAAAGTCAATCAGGAGCCTCAAAACGGCCTTCAAACACTTGAATTTTGTGCACTTGTTTTTAAATGGAGGAGTCACTTAAGGTGGGACATTTGAACACGGAGAAATTCTTCTTCCGATGAGCCAAAGGAGTAAACTACCAGCCGCACCATCGCGAAGCTACAATTTTTGAAAATCGGTGTTTTTTTTGCGATTTACAGAAATATTCTCGCTACCTAGGAGGGTGAAACAAATTTTCTGAAGCACTTCAACACGGTTTTCAGGGTAGATATTTTGGAATAAGATAAAAAAAAAGGTTCCAGAAATCGAGAACTTAATTTGCAAAAAATCAATTTTTTTCCTATTTTTCAATAAGGAAACCTCGACCTCCCTTAATATTTGTGCTAAGTCTGAGTTGACCTTTGACAACGACTTACAAAGAAGATTTAAACTGGTTCACTAGTTCACTGCCTTCTAGCTTTCATTTCGTGCTGTCTTCTATCCGCCTGCCAAACACGATTAGCTCGAAGCCTCGAACACCAGCTCGTGGCAAGCCGTTCCGTCCAAGGTACATTTTTGGGGGGGTCACGCTAATTTACACCAGTCTGGGGACAATTGTCTGCTCCTCCCCATAAATAAGCGTTTGGCCGTATCCCTCCCTTCCCCCGGCCGAACAATCAATTTTCCTCCCACGTGGCAACATTGGAACGTCACAGGCTACCCCTAACTGCGCGTTGTCGTCGATGATGCGCTGCGCCAGTTTTTTCGATAGTATTTTGTAATTAGGCGCAGTTTGGAGCAGAAAGGAGGAAATGTAGGAGGATGTAGTAGGCTTCCCCATCTTGGCGTAGTTTGGCGCAATCGGCGCAGCTATAGCATCACTGACTTAAACGTGAAACATTTTGGCTTCTTCAGTGACTTCACAAAGCTTATTTGGGCGTGCAGGTGGTAGTTTTGTGGAAACACACTTGCAGTACATACTGGTGTGATCTCTATGATACTAATATCGAGGTTGCAATCTTTTATGATACTATCGAGCTCGGAGTATGAGGTCAGCAAGTATGTTTGCAGCAGCACTCTTCTGGAAGAAGTGTCAGCAATACAACGAAAAAATACATGTAGGCTCACCCATTTGCATTTAATGCAGCGGACTGCATCATGTACGTGCACTTCTGCCCACATGTCGACACCTTGGACATTTGTGAATTACTTGGCTTGTGGACACCATTGAACTTATGAATGGCTTTAGGCCACAACATTGTCAGAAGTGGCTTGGTACAGTAGCCTACGAGGAAAGGTGTGGCCGACAGTATCATGGTCACATATTAGAAAGCTCGTAAGGATGCTCTAGCTCCCAGTAAGTATTATTTTATTATTGTTTTAATTTGTTCGTACTGTGAGCCACTTGCAGAAACAGTGAAGACTGGATTAAAAACAAACCTTGCATGGGAGGTACACCGGTACAATGTCGCAGCATAACTTGATATGTTTCAAGTGTACGTGGACAAAACAGAGGTATCAAAACAGAGAAACTCTGAAAGCCAAGTATGATTTCCCAGCTTAAAAAGAAGCAACAAAGACATACGTGATGCTTCTCGAAGTTGTCTGTGCGTGTACGTCGGCCAGAATGTTGAACTCACTCAGGCTTACTCATAAAATATATTTTGCCTTTGAGGCTCACTCAAACTCAAGCTCACCAAAATATTACTCATTTGAACTCGCCCAGACTAGCGGCTCTAATTGAGTCTGAGTGTGCCAACTCATGAGCTCCTTACTGTATATTTGGCTTTTTCTACCATTGTCCAAGTGCTCTTTAACACCAATATATCATGTAATCTGGGCATTGCCAGATGCTTTTTGATCTAGTATGTTCAAGTGCGGAATATCAATGGTACTAGTTCAGTAAAGACATGATGACGCAGGAGAAAGGCAGCCCTGTGACCTGCTCTTCTATTACATTCCATGTGTGGGTCTCCGGAGCTGTGTAGGGCAGCGCTTTTTCTGAGGTTAGTGTTATTGATTCATACCTCAGGTCGATCATGGCGCCATGGTTACTTAGGAAGCCTATCCAAAGTATCACTTCCCTGGAGCAGTGTTGTAAGATAAAGCTAGCACAATAAGTCCCGTTGTTGATTATGACTGTGGCTGTGTGAACTCCAACTGGCATTATCAGGTGGCCTCCAGCAGTCTAGATTTCGGGTCCACTCCAGCGGTCCTCACTTTTTTCAACTTGGTGGCAAATGGCTCACTGATGATGGGATAGTCGGCACCAGTGTCAATGAGAGCGGTGACGTTGTGACCGTCGATAAGAACGTCAAGATCGCTTGTTCGTCGTTTTGCGTTGCGGTTCCATTGAGGCGTTAAATCACGGCTACATCGGTTTGATCCACCCCTTCCACGTTGCATTGTCAGGTCTTTTTCTAGCCTCAAGATTTCGACGTCAGAGCTGCGTATGGGTCACGGCAGGTTATTAAGGTTTCGTCACACCGTCATCGTCGGCGGCAGAAAATCTTCGATAGTTCATCTTACAGCAAACTCACCTTCATCGGTTGATGCCCTTTGTTTTCCTAATAAGGAATCAGATACCGGCCCCGAACAGGACCGGCATACTGCATGGCTGCAATGCATTGAGGTGTAGTGGCCTGGAAAAAGAGATTAGAAAGACCGTCTGGGTGTCCCTTGCGCTCCTGCGAGGTAATCGGCAATGTTTCTGTGATGAAGTGCGTGGAATTTAAAGCACATCGAGTGTGCAGAATTTGAACTCTCTGAGTGTGTGTATTTTTGTGCTTGTTTCATCATGAACCTTTACCAACACGCCCAACTGACAGTCATTCAGAATTTGAAGTGAGTGCCGTGAAACAAGTTGGAAGGCAAGAAAGAAGAAGCTGGCATGGCCGTAAACGAACAAGCGAGAAATGACTGAAACGTCGATTTGATGCAGACGCAGCAATTGCTCGAAGCACGCGCGAGAGAGAAAAGAAAGAAAAGTCACAGAAGTGGCCGGAGAAAGATGAGCCGTGCATTAGAGTGGTCCGGTTTCGGACCCTAGCCAAGGCTGGTACCTCCATTGTCCGGTGACCTGAGGGGCTCCATGGCTACCTGGCTGCGCTGACGTTCCTGTGTCCATGGACAGACTTGAGTAGTCAAACTTCAAGCTTGTGTTCAAACGAGGCTGTCCGGCCGGCACTCTACCTCGGAGCCAGTACATCAAATGCAGCGTCAGCTGGTCCAGCGTTCACCGGCAGCCTAGGAAGGCTGCTTATCCTACCATTCGTGTAGCTGCTCAACGTCGACGCTAACTACGCCGACGATAGAATCAACCTCTGTGTTTTGCGCCCAGGCTTCCACTCAATGACGTGGGTGAGACCCCGATCTTTCACGATTTTCCACAACCAACTCTGTGTAGGGACTCAACAATTAACAACTCAAAAATTAGGGACTACAGCATTAGCATTAAACTATAGCATGA